TATTGCACTAAACCGGGTTACGCATTTGAGGACATGATATCACTATTCCCATATCCTTAACCGATTTGCTTTACAGAAATTTACACCTTTGCTTCAAACACCTGCATTATGGAACACTACGTTTTCACGTCCCACCATTGGCACAACCTTCACTATTCAATATCACACATTTTATCCTTGAGAGCACCTATTATCAAACTGCAATCACATCTCCCAGTTTCCACCCTTGCTCATTTTTATTTCAAACCTAATCGTGACTAGATTGCTGTCTTTAAGTTGATTTCTAAAGCCATGCTGACAAGATTACATTTGATTTGCTCTGTCCAAACGGTACTTATAGTACAGGTTTGCTTGCCTAAAGTTTTCCTCTCATGTCTCGTGCGACTACTTTGTATAGGTTTCTTATGGTTGCTATAATACGTCAAGGGGATTAGTAGACGACTGACGGGGTTCACCAACGGGTGCTGTTTGGCATCTCAAATGTTAAGCCTATTTGGAACGGTCACTTGTATATCATTCACTTGTATATCATTCACTTGCTTCTAGCTTTGTTCAAAAGTGGCTGCAGGTCTCGGAAATACATGCAGAATTTTCACCAAGAACAGGACAAGCGATGTGCCATTGGAACGTATTACAGGTGGCGTACAACGTGAGAAATGATTACATGGCCGATTCGAGTCCCTTTATTTTATCATATACCAGAGCTCCAAAATGGCACTTTAAATGTGCAGCCGGTATGTTCAGATGATATATATATATATGTAAATGTATATAATGTTTCAATCACCCAGGACGAGTGAATATTTATTCATGATTCCTAACGATTTCCGTGATTCAGCATCATGTATATGCGTAGGGGTGGGCGTCCTCGCGGTATACTCAGCCCGCGCGCGACTGCTGGTGGTTACGCTGCAGCGAAACGCCGTTACGGCGTACAGCTGACACATTATTTATTATTATTATTATATGCAATACTAAATGATATAATAATAAATGGAAAAACACAAGTCGACCAAAGCTTAATCGGGTTGGTTATTTCTCGGCCGACTTTATTACGGTAATACAAAAATCGCAATATACTTAACTATATTTACTGATTATCCCAACTATCCTCATCTTTAAACATAAATTTTCTTACTTCAGTTAGTGCAGCGGAATGGACATGGGGGATAAAAGATCAATTAGATACGTCACTGGGGATAACTAACCCAAGAGTCAGCTCTCAGTCCCCGTAACAGAGAATTGTTTCCACATTAAAATAGTCACTAAACCAGCTTCTTTACAGCTATGTGCAACCCAAAACATGCATGGCGAATAATATTAACATTCTGTCTATTTTACTCAAAGGACTGTATTCTTCCTCTCTAACAGTGTAGGCAATGTTGTGGGGTAGTTTTTTCTCAGATCTATCGCGCTGTAGATCTCACTGCTTCACAATGTGAACGTATAGTCCACCTCTCCAAAGACTCTATCGCGCATTCATTCAATCAGAATCCAAAAAATTATCTTCCGAATTCAGAAACACCAACGAAGACGCACTTATCTAAAAACATACGCAGTGAACACGGCGAAAACCAAGTATGTATAGTCCTACTAAAATGATTCTAGGCGTTAGAGCTTGTCAAACTATTGCATTGTAGATACGGTCTGCCGGTGGCCGAGTGGTCTGCGCGTTTGGTTTGCAACCATAAGGTCACCGGTTCGAATGCGCGTAGGGGTGGACCTCCTCGCGTTATCCTCAGAAGACGTGCGACTGATGGTTGTTCGCGCGGCAGCAAAGCGCCGTTACGGCGTGCAGCTGCCACATTATTTATTATATACTGAAAATGTTGGCAATTTTTGGCTATTTACTTCCTTTCCCAGCTGCAATCTGTGAAGCATTCAGTAACTTCTTCGTCACTGCCATGAGCTACGAAAATGACTGTACCTGTGTACATAGAAGTTAAAGTAAGAAACCTCTAAGTCAGACTGATATTTCGCTCAACAGTATTCATCAAGCCATTATGGCAGCCATGCCGTACTTCAAGCTGGGATCTAACTGGAGAGCGCCATCTACCATTAAACTAAAAAACCCTGACATTCTGCTGCTCCTGATCAACATGTTCATACTATCGCGCGGACCTAGCAACTTAATAGCCCAATGGAATACGTCGGTTATCATGTTTCTGTACAATGGAGGTCCCAAACAAAATTGAAAAGTATCGGCTTATCCAACACACTTTAATAATCGCCCGGTCATTCGGAAAACTGGTCAGAAAAGGCAATCTGAAATTTTTAAATTCATCGGGCATGATAAATAATCCGGAGTATTGTTTTCTTGAGAAGGGTCTGTGCACCCCAGTCAATTGCAATATCTAAACTACATTTCAGAATCCTTAGATTCCGGCTATGCAGTAATGATTCTATTACTCTACATCCACCAAGCATTTGACAGAGTATTTCAAAGCATTGTTACAAAAGTTGGTCTTTTGGTTCCGGGGCCCATTGCTGGATTCATTGTCGTCACACCTAGGTGCTCGCCACTAGGTAGTCCCTTTAGGTGACTATCCCCCCTCTCCACGCCCCATAAGTAGTCGGGTCACCCAAGGGAGAGAATTTGGTCCTTCACAGTTCCTGCTGTACATCATTGACATCGCCACAAGTGTAGAACATGGCCAGCAATTTTTCTTCGCTGAAGCTAATAAGGTCATCTAGAAATTTCGGCGTGACAAACTTCACGGAACGATACTGTTCATTCAAGATTGCTTGAGGCATGGTTCCACACGTGCTTGATCAACCTTAGGCTAGGAGACCTAGCATGATGTGATATGGCTGTCCCGTCCCCGAAGGATTTATGGCACTGAAAAATTAACATCTGTCCACTCGCGATCTCGGAAGTAAGTACACATCTACCTTCAATTGACCAAGAACCAAGTTACACGTGCCAGACAATATGCGTTTAATATTTCCAAAAAGTCCACTCAATCCATGCTAGAGCTGAGTCTTTTAAGCCACTGACCTCCACCATCCACAAGTCCTACACCATAATACGAGGAAGTGGGACAAAATTGCTGTGGAGCACCTGCGGTCGCCGTTTAATAATCGTCTGGTTGGTAAGCACGCTGCAATGAATTATTGAGAGAGTTCCAACATAATTCAACTCCAAGCACTTTGGATTCGACGCTTGAAGCATAATAAGTTGCTGCTTTCCACCCTGGTACCCAAAATCCTATTCCAATCTGCTTACACTTCAACTGCAACCTAGCTCCAATCTAGAGATTCGAAACAGCTTATCCACTGATTATATTAAAGGCAAAAACAAGCATTCGCTCAATTTGCTTCCGGTAAGCTATACCTTTGAATCACCTTCGAAGCACACATGGGTCATGTGACAATGTGGCATTGTTTAGTAAAAAGCTCGTATGTTGTCTTAATTCGAATACCATAATGACTATATTCACATGGGGAAAATGTCCCGATGAATTGTCCCAAGTTGGAAGCAAGAACATCTAATCCTCTGCGTTTCCAATACTTAGCTTTCGCAGCAACCATTTACCAAAGAGCTATCACATTATTCCCATGCCCTAATAATCCACAAATGCATATTACTCAAGCAATAGCATGGTAATTTTTTAGAAACTGATCCGCGCCGTTACAATTGCAGTTTCTGTTCAATCATGAGAAATATAAGTATTCGTATTATGATGATTATTAACTGACGAACTGTAAGCTCTTGTTAAGGCATATATAGACTTGTAGATCTGTCTGGAAGGAGAGGTTGAGACGCATTCCGACAATACGCAACGAATGGAGTACTTTGTGTCAGCGAGTACTTTTGACTTCAATCCTTGTAAGAGAAAATGTCAGTGGACACAAATTATACATTCAAATGCAGTATTGCTACACCGTTATATCGCGCCGTGTTTTATGTCGAAGTTGAATCTCAAATACTTAAATAGCAGATCAGGAAACATTACTGGTGAGCAATAGGTCCAGTGTGAAAAACAGGAGCCGTGACAAAGTGAAATATAAAATCCTGGCGGAGACTGGAAGGTCGCACGCGTGCGGGGCAGAATGATATTCTCTTATATTTTGTAGACGTTTCGTCCATATGGTGTTGCCAAGTTAAACCATAACTAGGCATGTCACCGAGGTACTTTACTTATGTGGAGGAGTGCAAACCCTCACCATCGAACCGGAGTACTGTGCGATGCTTGAGAAGCTATTGAGATAGATCTCCTCTGAGTACTGAGAAAACGACAGCTTTGCATTTGAATAAGTCAAGCGGTAGTTTGTGGAACTTTGGCCAAAACGTGCGATACAAAGTTATCATGTGTTCTGACTGAAGAAGCAGTGATCGATTGACTGCTTACCGGGGCAATATCATCTGAGTAATTCAGCATGAGCTGGTATTTAGCTGACATAAGTGGAAAACAGAAATGGTGGCAGAATAGACCCTATCGAACACCGCTTTTATGATTGGGGGCAAGGAGCTTCTACCTTCAAATCGTGTAACCAGCAATATGTTCCCCCAACAAAAGGACAATATATATATTGCAACACTGAGTAGGTCTTTCAACAGCGATTCACAGTTTAGGTAGCCTAATGCTTCCCTGTGTCGCGGAACAGCAACTGAACAGTCGCATTCAAGCTTTAGGCCAGGATACAGACTCACACCATTGATTTCAGTGGCCCGGCATTCAAGAGAGACACAGCTCGTCAGCCATATTGTTCCTTGAAACTCAATTAAAACTTCTATGCATGAAGGGTATCCTTTCACTATTCTTCCTAACCATACCGCATCTATTAAGGGGCAAACGTCTGTAGTGGTCTGATGCAGAGTAGAATGTTATAAGTCATTTTTGAGCAGGATTCTTACACTTCAGGAAGAAAACTTGTCACTGCTGCATGTGACAACCGAGAGAGAGATTTGATTTCTGGTAATAATTTTAGCTGTCGACAGTTATAAGTCCAGAGAGACATAGAACTTTTGAGGAATTTGGTGAAATTATGACGCTTACCGATTGAGCATTTTGTAATGGTGGTTTTATTTTCAGTGTCCGGCCTTTACAACCTAAACCATTTGCTGGTCCACTTGACATTGGTAAGGTTGAAGATCTCCTAAGTGCAACAAATGCGACACTTAAGTGGTTACCTGTGTTACGTGTTCAACCAATGATCGCTCACTATGATCGTGAACCTCATTGGCCCTACACACACACGTAGATAAGCACGCAAACACGCACTCAAGGACACACCCTAACGTTCCGTGCTCTCATGTAAACCGTTAAGTGTACAGTACACTGTGCGCCAGACTGACGCGTCTTCTTGCTTATTCGCTACAAGTTGAAATACGTATTTGCGGTTAGAGTCCAGTTGTGATATCTGGCGACAGAGGTCAACATGTCCATGACAAATACTCCACCGGTCTTCTGGTTGTGCTCTACCGACAAACCTTCCCTGGACTCGTGGCATAGGTGGTGGAAAACCTTTACGGATTACTTGGAATTGCTTCCAATCTTGAATCCAGCAGTATCTCTTACTGAGAAAAACAAAGTGAAGCTCTTGAGACAGTTTCTTGGAGATGAGGGTCAAAGGTATTTCGATGCACTTCGTATTGATCAAATCTCTTCTACGATAACCGGCGCTTTGGAAACCTTCAGTGCTCTTTGGGGTGCTCGTCAGAATGTTTTTACGGCTAGATACTACTTCTCGAAACTCTGCCAGAAACCAGATGAGAGTGTGAACGAGTTCATCGCTCGTGTACTACAAGCAGCATCTGATTGTAAATACAATGAAGTCGATCCAACGAGATTTGAAGAGACCATGTTACTCCAATGTTTGATAGCCGGAATCTCAGACCAGAGCATTCGGGAGAAGCTCCTTTCACAAGATGATTGTTCACTGACCTGGGAGATGGCCTGCTCGATTGCCCGGCAGAGGGAACACCTTACACAACAACTCGCAACATTTACGCTGAAGGACTCGTCAGATGAGCTGCGATAGATTAACGCTACACCAAAACCAAAGCCACTCACTGGCGTCAATTTGTTTGTGTGCTATCGTTGTGGTGAGCAGCACAGTTGTCCATCCGACTGCCGGCATCAGAAGACAGTATGTCGAAGCTGCGGGAAGGTGGGCCACCTGGCGCGAGTGTGTAGGTCGGACAAGCGACGTTCAGGTGGGGCTTATCGAGGAGCAAACCCCATCAAAACAGTGGACGAATCTGATGGTAGCGACCCTGAATTACATTCCATTTGGCTTAATTCCGTTTCTAGCATGCAGCCGGCGCCATACACGCTAGAGCTTTACATTGAAGGACAAAAGGTACGGATGGAAATCGATACAGGAGCATCCGTGACGATAATCCGGGAAAACGCTGTAAAAACGCTCCCGAACTTATCCGCTTGCAATTCTGTTCTTCGCACATACACCGGTGAACCTATACGTGTCCTTGGTAAATGCTTCGTGAAGGCACAGTATGGCGACAAAATACGCACACTTCCTGTATATGTGATCCCCGGGGATCGTCCAAATCTGCTTGGAAGAGACTGGATACGTGCTTTCCCGGATACAATAAATGTGGTAAAATTAGTCACCGAGATCTCCGGACTTGAAACATTACTTAAACAACATTCAGCTGTTTTTTCCGAGGAGCTTGGGAAGTTGAAAGAATTTCAGGCTGCAATAAAACTAAAGGGAGGCGCTCGACCAAAATTCATTAAGGCGCGCACACTACCATACGCTATGAGGCCTAAAGTTGAAGAGGAACTAAACCGCCTACAGACTCAAGGTATTATTACTTCTGTACACTTTTCTGACTGGGGAACTCCAATTGTGCCAGTAACCAAACCGGACGGCTCCGGACGGATTTGTGGTGACTACAAGATAACCATAAATCAAGCATCCATGCTGGGCAGGTACCCCTTGCCACGTATTGATGACTTGGATGCAACACTAGCTGGTGGTGAAAAGTTTACCAAACTCGATCTGAGTCATGCATACTCGCAGATAGAGCTCGATGAACCTTCGAGGAAACTTACTACCATCACCACGCACATGGGACTATTTCAATATACTCGTTTACCTTTTGGCATTAATTCCGCCCCCGGAATATTTCAGAGAATTATTGACGACCTAGTGAAGGACATTCCTTTTGCGTGTGCTTATCTGGATGATATTCTTATCTCTGGACGCTCGGATACAGAGCATCTTCGAACACTCGCAGTCGTGCTCGAGCGTTTGGAGCGAAGTGGATTCAGATTGAAAAGGTCTAAATGTGAGTTCCTTTCACCTTCCGTTTGTTACCTTGGATACCGGCTTGATAAACAAGGTTTACATGTTTTAAATGACAAGGTTAAACCTATTTTAGAAAGCCCAGAGCCAAAGAGTTGTGATGAACTCCGTTCGTTCTTAGGAATGCTATCTCACTATCGCCGTTTCCTGCCTAATGCATCGACGGTTCTATCGCCATTAAATGAGCTGTTACACAAAAATGCATCATGGTGTTGGGGTTCCCGTCAAAAAATGCCTTCAATAAAGCAAAACAAGCTCTTGCTTCGCCACCAACGTTAGTCCATTATGACTCTAACAAGCCACTCATACCTCAGTGCGACGCGTCCCCTTGGGGGGTCGGGGCTGTCCTGTGCCACCGCATGGACGATGGTTCTTTACGTCCCATAGCATATGCATCGCGCACCTTACAGACGGCGGAGAAGAACTACTCACAACTAGACAGGGAAGCGCTGGCCGTTATCTTCGGATTTAAGAGGTTTCACCAGTATTTATGGGGAAACGTTTTCGAGCTTCATACAGACCACAAATCATTGATATCCTTGTTTGGGGAAACCAAAAGTATACAACAAATGGCATCACCGAGGATGCAAAGATGGGCTATAACCTTGAGTGCTTACAGTTACAAGATGGTTTATATTACCAGCGTCAGCAACTGCACAGCTGATGCACTCAGCCGTCTGCCGATCACGGAAACTGCACATGAACACGACCCTCCGTTTGAACTGGTTAATCTAATGCAACATCTAGACACAACATCGATACGGAGTTCAACAATCCGTCAATGGACGGATCGAGACCCCGTGCTATCAATGGAGAAACGCTTTTTGAACATGGGTTGGCCTCCTGAAGGGACAGTTGAATCACGACCGTTTATGATTCGGAAGAACGAAGAGAGTCTATTCGACGGCTGTGTTTTTTGGGGCTCTCGTCTAGTCCCTCCCACCAAGGCGCGTTCACAGATACTTAAAGAGCTCCATGATGCTCATCCAGGTGTGGCGAGGATGAATGCACTAGCGAGAGGGTACTGCTGGTGGCCCAACATCGACTCAGACATAGAGAACTTATTGAAGAATTGCGATATTTGTCAGGCGTATCAGCGGAGCAAGGCGCCAGGTCCAATACACCCTTGGCGTTGGTCCGACAAGCCCTGGCAGCGTATCCACGCAGACTACTTCGGACCGATCGACGGGACCATGTTTCTTCTACTTATTGATGCACATTCTAAGTGGATTGACGTACATCCAGTTACTCAGGCGACAGCCGAATCCACTATCACTAAAATGCGCTCGTCCTTCGCTACGTTTGGCATTCCGGAAACCATTTGTACAGACAATGGTTCGCCTTTTACCAGTGCCGAATTTGATAAATTTGTCGCCAACAACGGAATCCAACACGTTAAATCAGCCCCGTATCACCCAGCATCAAACGGATTAGCGGAGCGTGCAGTACAAACTGTGAAACAAGGCTTACTAAAGCAGCGAACGGGAACATTGCGAACAAAACTGGATCGGTTCCTATTCTCCTACCGTTGTACACCCACTGAGGCTACCGGGAAATCCCCGGCGGAATTGATGTTCGGTAGAAATCTGAGAACGAGGCTTCATTTGTTGTGCCCGAACCCGCGTATTGAAGCACAGGAACGTCAGAATAATTTTGTGTCTTCAGAGGAATCAAAGCCGGAAGTTACATTTCAGGACCATCAAATGTTTACACCAGGTTACCGCATGAACAATGTTGGCAGCCGGCGACTGTGCTCGATTCTTCAGGAATTCAAAACGATTTGCAGCTTCCGGACGGCCGGGTTGTTCGCTGGCACTCAGATCATGTACGCCCCAGGAGCACTGACACACCTGCCGTGAGTCAGTCACACTCAGAGATCGCAGAGCAAGTTGCAGAGCACGACGAACACAGAACAACAGGGGAAACTCAATTACGCCGATCGACCCGGATTCGCAAACCGATCGAACGTTTTCAGCCATAACTGTAACGTCAGCCAAAACAGGGAGGACTGTTACGTGTTCAACCAATGATCGCTCACTATGATCGTGAACCTCATTGGCCCTACACACACACGTAGATAAGCACGCAAACACGCACTCAAGGACACACCCTAACGTTCCGTGCTCTCATGTAAACCGTTAAGTGTACAGTACACTGTGCGCCAGACTGACGCGTCTTCTTGCTTATTCGCTACTAGTTGAGATACGTACTTGTGGTTAGAGTCCAGTTGTGATAACCTGGTACTTGACAAACCTAAGGCTAGCCGGATCAACTTACTGAAGAGTTGAGGCCACCAAATCAGTGAATATGGAAGTTGCGGGCACTGTGGTAAATGATGTGATTCGACAGGAGTGTAACTCCCTTGTATCAAAACTTAGTAACAAGAACATATCTTTCAAATTCACTAGATAGTTATTTTCAATGTGGAAGGTCACCACAATTAGCAGCTTTTGACAGATATCATATGAAGCAGTAAGGGACAGTTATCAGCAATCCTCGCATTCACATACAGTCAGAAATGTAGCAAAGTACTGCAATGTTGCCTGTCAACTCCCACAGGCTATCTATAGTTTTTGCCACCTTTGAACATGAGAGGAAACAGTATCAGTCTTTGTGTCACCATTTTATGGAGTCCACAAATAACATTTTGTTCGTGGGGTTTGAACATAAAGCTTTGGAGTAAAGTCTCCTATGTGGGTGCTCTGGTTCTAGCTGTTGGAAAATGTGACACTGACAAGTAGAGACAAAATGTTACGAACTAGTCCAGCTGGCATTTCTTATTCCAGCACACATTTGGCAAAACTTT